AACTAATCCGTTTATGAGAAGGCACTGCATCGACATCTAGAAGAGGGGCTTTATGATAATAATTATGATGATTGTTCTTATGTGGTGGCATCCTGTAGGATTTGCCATGGGAGGAAGGAGACCTGGGCTTGGCGGAGGAGGATGACGAGCTTCAGCCATCTTCGGCTCCTTTAGAAGTGTTCCTGGCATCTCAGGGACTGAGTGACTTCCTCTCCATCTTCCATCGAGAGCAGATGGACCTGGATGTATTGCTGTTGTGCTCTGAGCAGGACCTCATTAGCATCCACATTCCACTCGGACCTCGTAAAAAACTACTTGATGCATGCAGCAGACGCAACAATGTTCTGGACGAAGCTGATGGCATGCAGGACACTGTGCTGTAGAGTGTGTATGTCTGTTATTGACTCTGTTCCAAAATCTAGTGTACTTTCTTGTTGCCTGCATAAACAGTTGTTTTTAAAGTAGCATCCTAGTTGAACTGTATCCTCGTAAGTGTCTACATAGGCAGCAACTCAACATGCCACAAAAACAGCGCTTCTCATGCAAAGTGCATGGGAGATTTGACATGAACAAGTCTCCCATGCATTTCTCCCATGTATTAGACAAGACTTCCGGAATTTCTCTCATCTTGACTACCATCTTGGATGTATTTGTTTACTTTGACCTTGTTGCATTTTAATATTGCCTTCTCTGTGAAGATTTTGCCAAAACAATGTATTTGCTACAAGATCATTATGCCGCCTACTGTTTAAAGCCACTTAGCCACGTCTACAAAGCCTCAGTTGACCTGGTTTGCTAAATGTTCATCCCCAGTCTTAAGGTACATTCACATTACCAAAATTTCAGCTACATTTTATAGGAAAGTTTTGTGTTTGTTATTCCACAGAGAAAAATTTGTGTTTTGGCTTTGTGTTTTTTAAGCAAAATATGGTAACACTTTAGATTAGGGAACACGATTCACTAATAAATAGTTGTTTATTAGCATGCATATTGGCTATTTATTAGTACTTATAAAGCACATACTGATGCATGCCCATATTCTAAATCCCTTAACCCTACCCAATACCTAAACATAACTACTACAACTACCTTACTATGAATAATAAGCAGCAAATTAGGAATTTATTGAGGGAAAACACTTAGTTTACAGTGAAAATGTGTTCCCTGATCTACCATACAGTAGCTTGCTTTTCCTGTGGAGTGACTTTGCTTTTCTGCTGCAGGCGATTGAATAATGTTAATCATAGCCAAATAGCTTCATTAAACACTCATTAATTTTGATTCCACTCTGGAATGCAACTCATTTTTAACCCTGCCTGATCAATACCAGATTGACAAAATCAAGTCCCATCCTACTTGTTTTTCCTAATTAAATATCCTGGATTGCTTTGAAATGCATGACATTGTGGAAGAAAAACAGGATTTACAGTGCAATTCACATTTTTTTTTAATGCTTCCTATGCCTGCATCTGGAGCAGAGCCATTGTGTGTGGATGTGCTTGAGTGAGTGATACGCCTGCCACCTTGTGGATGGGAGGAAAACTACAGCTCTTCTATTGTACACCTTACTCTCTAGTCAGCAAAACTGTCTGCTCACAAAGAAGTTCTACTTGAAAATGAAGTCTATATGCTGAAGGTTGCTGTTATGAATGCACATGCAGTTTGGAGGTAAAATGTACACAAATTATTAATCTGACCTGCTATTTACCATATTGAGGTTCTTCAAAGATATTGTGGTTCCGGATACACTCTGTGAATTATTGCCTTGCATATTGATGCAGTATTTTAGGACTAAAATAGAGTCATTTGCAGTAATAATTAGCATTTTCAACTTTGCAATGATTTTCAAACATTGTGGAAGAAAAACAGGATTTACAGTGCAATTCACATTTTTTTTTAATGCTTCCTATGCCTGCATCTGGAGCAGAGCCATTGTGTGTGGATGTGCTTGAGTGAGTGATACGCCTGCCACCTTGTGGATGGGAGGAAAACTACAGCTCTTCTATTGTACACCTTACTCTCTAGTCAGCAAAACTGTCTGCTCACAAAGAAGTTCTACTTGAAAATGAAGTCTATATGCTGAAGGTTGCTGTTATGAATGCACATGCAGTTTGGAGGTAAAATGTACACAAATTATTAATCTGACCTGCTATTTACCATATTGAGGTTCTTCAAAGATATTGTGGTTCCGGATACACTCTGTGAATTAATGCCTTGCATATTGATGCAGTATTTTAGGACTAAAATAGAGTCATTTGCAGTAATAATTAGCATTTTCAACTTTGCAATGATTTTCAACTCTAACAATTCAGACCAAGAAACAAAGCCTTTGTTATTACATGATGACGCAGCTTGATATTGACATATATTTACTAGTGGAGCAAAAATCTATGTATCAGTGCTTTAGTGTCCCAGATTACTCTAATTTACTTTTTTATAAATTGTATGTACCATGGTGGAGAATTAACATGGTAAATAAATCCACAATTTATATGACTGTAATTTCAAGCATTTTAAGTAGAATCATTTAGATCAAAAAGTCTGTAAGATCATACATTCAGGTCTGTATGTTACTGTATGTGCAAGCATTGTCTCATTTTTTTGTGTTTAGTTGTACATATGAAGCTTTGGACAGCTTCAATGTCCGGCCAGAAGACTTTTCAGTTGTATAAAAAGTTAAGTACATTATTTAGAGTTTTCATCTTTGGAATTCTGATGATTATAATGATTGTATGCTGCATTAGCTGACTCCAGCTGAGAGGTGGTTGGAGTTTGGGTGTGTGAAATACCTTCATTGGCCACCTGATGTTTGTACAGTTTTATTGATGTACGGTTCTGTGTGTGTTATTGATCGACTGCAGTCAAAGCTTCTCGCTCAGTAGGTGAGATGTTTGTTCTGGAGCCGTGTTCCTCTGCTGTCCGCTCATTTATGGGTGTGTGCGGCAGGTTTTAGAGGCTGACATGCTGAAAGCTGATAACTCTTGTTACTTTATCTGTCTATCCTTCACACGCCATCTCCACACAATTCAGCTACACACGGCTAGCCCTTCTTACATGTACAGTGTACATGACAGTATGTGTGTTCAGTACCTGTCTGGATACAAGTTTATTTGCTTCTGTGTCTTTTACTGGCTCTTAGCTCAGATTGGTTCTCATTCGTTCACAAATTTCTATGTAAATGTTTTGTAAAACCATTCTTGCGCAAGTCATTGTCAAACAGGAATGTATGACATTTTCAATGTAGAAGCTACATTTTTTCTTATGTAAATTGTAGAAAAATATTTTAAATACAAACATTTCTGTGTAAATCATTCATAAATCCACTCTTAATTATTCATAAGAAATTTGTTCTGCTTATGTTACTTTTGTTTTGTATTATGTTTCATGAAGCACAGTGTTTTGTTTTCCATTCTGTGCTCGTTCCTCTCCTTTTTTGTAGTCTTGCATGAAACTCGAAATATTGTCTTTACATTTTACATGTCCCTGACTATGTCAGGTCATATTTCACCCTAAAATCAAAAGGAAAAAAAACTCTTAGATTTTTACAAATGTTTACTTTTGATTTGGGGGTCAAATATGACCCAAGACTCATTTTCAGGCAATGCCAATGTTTTCAGTGACAAATTGTGGATTGTTTTTAAAATGTTGATTTAATAAACTAGTCATTTTTACTAACCTGTATTTGATGTTTCTTTTTATTTTAAATAGTCTACATTCTGTGTACTGAATAGAATCGCTAATGTCCTTTCTGCCTTTTTTTATTTTTGCTGCACCTTTTCTTTTGTCTTCTGCCAAGTAGATTAAAAGAGACAGAATGAATACATGGGCGAGTCAGTAGATTAGAGAGAGAGAGAGTAAATATATTCTATAACTGTGTGTGTGTGTGTGTGTGTGTGTGTGTGAGAGAGAGAGAGAGAGAGAGAGAGAGAGAGAGAGAGAGAGAGAGAGAGAGAGAGAGAGAGAGAGAGAGAGAGAGAGAGAGAGAGAGAGAGAGAGAGAGTTTACTGTGTTGTTCTTGTGATACAAGACGCCACATGGGACCTGCATGTGTACCAAAGGCATCATTGTAGGAACAAGAAAGATGAGAACTTACAGATTTTTGTGTAAATAACTTCTACATAATTTGTTGCATGATTTTGTGTTTTGATAGTTTTTTTTGTTGGTTTGTTTCACATAAAAATAGCAGAATTCATGTGCAAAATGTATGTTAAACCCTTGCATAATTTATATAAATAATAGGACTGTTTTTAGATTTTTGTAAAATGGTTTTATGAATTTTGCAACTATGATTTTTACGCAGAATTTCTGTGCAAGTAAAAGAAACTGTCAAATAGAGTTTTCATTAAACCAAACTAAACAAATGTCTGTATAAATCATCTGTAAAACTATTCTTGCATAAATTGTTGATTTTGTGATTTGACCGTTTTTTTTTTTTATTTGTCTACATAGAAATTTCAGAATTCTTGTGTAAATTGTACAACTATTATGTTATTTAATTATTTTTGTCTTATACAGAAATGTGTTAAATTTATGTATTTTTTGTGAAAAATTGTTCAGTTGAATGCAAAAATGAATTTTTGTGAAAGCCATTTCACAAAAATTGGTTGTTAATGTAAAATGGTTTTACATTTTAGTGGTTTTGAAATGCATTCTGTAGCTGTGTGTGTGCGGTCCTGGTAAACCCTATATGGTATGTGCACAAAATGCCCCTAAAAAGATGGCAATATCTGAATTATTTGTCCTTGTGGTGACATTTTCTGGTCCCCATGAGGAAACAAGCTTATAAATCATACAAAATTAAGTTTTTTAAAAATCTAAAAATGCTGAAATTTTCCTGTGATGGGTAGGTTTAGGTGTAGGGCGATAGAATATACGGTTTGTACAGTAAATACAATTTTCGGGTATGGAGAATCCCCATAAAGCGCGCGCGCGTGTGTGTGCGCTGTTCCTGTGATAGGAGATGACGCAGGACTCTTGCAGCATTGAGGACACTCCTGCTGTGGAACGAGAAAGATACTGTGAGAGAGAGAGATCCGTTTCTAGCGCAGTCAGCACTAAAGTCTCTCACTTTAGTTTCGCGGACGGGACGGAGAGTGTGTGCGCGAGCCATGCGTCTCTGAGCTCCAGCGCTAGCATGCAGAGCAATCCAGAGGAGAGGAGAGACACCGCGGAGCGGGAGACGCTGATGATGGAGCTGACGCGCCTGGTGCAGAAGAGTGTGAGAGAGAGCAGCTGGTGGGAGAGGAGAGGACTAGACTGCAGCATCCTCACCGCAGCCTTCATCAGTTTACCGGCAGGTACACACACACACACTTTCACTACTTTTCATTATAGACACAAAAGACACGCAGGCTCTTTGGGAGAATCTCCAAACAAACAAAAGAAATCAAAATAGCTACATTTCCACTTTAAATTCTCATTACTGTAATGCAAAAAAAAAAAAAATTTTAAACCCATTGTTGTGATGTGGGAGCAATTATGTATTATTTAAAAATAGTAGCCTATAGACATAGTAATTATATATCTTAACTTATTTAATGATAATAATTAGGGGAATTACAAAAACATTCAAAAGTAAAATATATTAGAATAGTGAGAATTTTACTGAATGGAAATGTCATAATAATGCATATATCATGCATGCATGTATTGCAAGGCAAATAGGCTTTGTTTTCTTTATGCAAAATATAATTTCTTTTTTTGTTTGAGATTCATCTGAATTTTTTTTACTTTGAAACAGTTTTCACTCATAATTTGTAGAAATGTACAAATAATTACAAAGAAATGTGAAGTACAGTATTTTAAGTATGCATTTTGATTGAAGTTGCTCAGAGTCTAGGGAACATTCAAAGTGTGTTTTTATGCTGTGATTGTTTTCATTTCAACATGTCATTGTGTTTACAACGGCCTGTATGAGTTGTATGAGGGTGTGTACTGTCATTAATAGGGAGTATATTGGATAATGTGCATTCAAAACAAATTGTTGACTGGTTTAGTCATGAAGGGGTGTGACTGTGTGCCCGCCGGTTATTGGGTTAAACTTCCAAGAAACCAAAACTTCAGGTTCGTACCAAACGTTCTTTGACTTTTAATTCAAACAACTTGGCTTCTTTATACAGAAGCTTTTAAGCTTTCAGACATTGGCGACAGTTAAAGGGATAGTTCAGACATTTACTCACTTGTTCCAAACCTGTAAGGATTTCTTTCTTCTGCTGAACACAAAAGAATGAAGACCAAACCGTTGCTGGTCCCCGTTGAGTTTCATAATAAGGAAAAAGGGGGGGCAGAAACTGTTTGCTTGCCAACATTCTTCACCGTTCAGCAGAAGAAAGAAACTCGTACAGGTTTGGAACGAGTGAGTAAACAATGACAGGATTTTCCCTTTTGGGTAAACTATCCCTTTAGTATCCAGATCACCGAGGCACTCCTGTGGTGGTGGTTGTCATGCTGACCAGTTCGATCTGGGTGCTTCGCTCTCATTGGGCAGATCCAGTTTCCTGCAGCAGTCAACCAACTGCGATGTGACCCGTACTTGGAATTAATGCTCTGTGTTTAACCCATCCAAAGTGCACACACACAGCAGTGAACACACACCCGGAGCAGTGGGCAGCCATTTATGCTGCAGCACCCAGGGAGTTGCTCAAGGGGTATTGAAGGTCAATACAATCCCTGCCGATACGAGACTCGAACCCACAACCTTTGGGTTACAAGTCTGATTCTCTAACCATTAGGCCACGACTTCCCCCACTGCTAAATTAGATCTTTTAATACTCTATTATATACGAGCCAGGACATGGCATAATTTAATGTAAATTAAAAAAAAAAGTAAAAAAAAAAAAAAAGAAGAAGCATGATCTACATGATACTTTTTTTTTAAATAATACATAATAATAAATAATACCCAGAAACATTCAAATAAATATAACCATTGCCTGATTAAATAATTAAAAGCAGATATTTCTTCAAACATACCCATCATAACACATCATTTAATTAAAAAAGATACCAAATGAAACATGAATTCAAAATTATTTACGTTTATTCACTGCCAGAAACGATGACGTCATACGTGTGCATATTACATGTTCAGTGTATCCGCCTTATTCCTAATAAGCCGACTGCATTTTAAATTAGGCGAGGCACTTCCGGTTTGGGGAAGTTCTGCTCAAAAAGACTGCAACAAATCACTTCAAATCATGATTGCGCTACAAATAATCCTTATTTTGACTGAATGGGCTGTAAATTTTCATTCTTTTTCAAATATAGACATATATTACTATAATGATATTTAACATGTACGTAATATTGCTGCAGATAGAAGGAGGCTCTTCAGGAGTTATTTATGGTATGTTGAAAGTAATTTGTTAATGCTTTTACACTTTAGAATTTCCTTTTAATGATCGATGGTTAAAGGGTGAGTAAAATAATGTCACCTCATTGTACTTGTGTTTTTGAAAATGCAAAACATATAGAGCTATACAATTGCGCTCATATAGAGCAAACCTTTTGCTGACTGTTTACAGTATAAAGGGAAGTTACTCCCATAATTTGTGCAAAGCATCATGGGGCTTAGGGATGCATATTACGTGTTCGCATAATGTTTCTTTACAAAGTGGCATCGCCATCTACTGGCCTGGCATGCTTATTACAGCGCTTTTAGTTGTGTTTGTTTTGACAACGTTGTTGTCTACACAGAACTTTTCCATTTTTATTACAATCGTTATGTAAATGCACCCTTAATCTAAAAGATTATTAGAGCATGTTTTATCAGAAAAAAATTCAGTCTTTCTACTTCAAAATTCTGTTACTTGTTATTTACTTGTAACTCATTGAGAAATTTACTAGAAACTTCAGAGTGAAAATGGTTTCTACTTTAGTGTTTTCTCAATAACTCATTTCTAAACCTGTTAAAAGTTACATAATGCAAGCATTTTGTGTCAAAGCTTTGATTACGGAGCATAAATGTCATCGACCTGTTTGTGCTCATATGTTTGTCGTGAGTCGAGCTCCGCGCCGCTACAGTGATGTTGTTCTTGTGTCTGCAGGGTTCCTGTTGTTGGGTTCGTCTCAGCCGCTGTATTTCCTGTCAGGTGTTCTGATAATGGGCGTGTCTCACGCTGTCATCACCGTTAAAGGGACACACCTGGCCAGTCACGGCGCGCTCAGCGAGTCTCCGGTCTGGGCCGACTTCTGGGCCGTCTTCTTCATCGAAGTGAGATTTGCTGCACTCTAAAAAATGCTGGGTTGTTTCAACCCAATTTTGGGTCAAATATGGACTAACCCAACTTTTGGGTTAAAAATGTAATTTAAAAATTTAACCCAACAGCTGGGTTAGTCCATATTTGACCCAAAATTGGGTTGAAACAGCCCAGCATTTTTTAGAGTGTGTCGATGTGAAATTATTAAACATATAGGGAAATCTATCAAAGTAGTAAAATTATATGAAAAAGCACCAAGAGCACCATGGTTTTCCATTTTCACCTTAATTCCATGTGTTTTGGGTCATCAGTGTATAAGTGAAGTGTTTCACACACTCTAAAAAATGGGTTAAAAAGGGACAAACCCAGCTATTGGGTTGTTTTGACCCAGCGTTTGGGTTGTTTTGACCCAGCTATTGGGTCAAGCTATTGGGTTGTTTTGACCCAGCTGTTGGGTTGTTTTGACCCAGCTATTGGGTTGTTTTGACCCAGCGGTTGGGTTGTTTTGACCCAGCTGTTGGGTTGTTTTGACCCAGCTATTGGGCTGTTTTGACCCAGCGGTTGGGTTGTTTTGACCCAGCTGTTGGGTTGTTTTGACAACCGCTTGGTCAAAACAACCCAATAGCTGGGTTTGTCTTTTTTTAACCCAGCATTTTTTAGAGTGCATGCAGCCAATTCTCTGCAACACGAAAATGCAAAAGTATGGAAAGAATTTAGCTGATTGAGTCTTCATGAATTAACTTTATAGATTAAGAGGGTTTAGATTAATTTACAGTTTCCATCCTCTCAAGAATGTAAAATAGTTATATATAATGTTGATTATATATAACGTATATTATAATATTGATCATATTCCATGGCAACAGTCTGTACTCATACAGTGGGCCCCAAAATTATTCGACTTTATAGTTTTATATGCAATTTTCATTGCAATTTATGTTAGCACAACAGTATGAATGAAATCAGATTTCAGAATCAAATGTTCTTAGTATTTGTTCAGTTTCTCTTTTGCTTTAATGACAGGAGCACTGGAGCTACAGATTGTTCCAAAAAGCATCTTGAGCTTCAATGGAACCAAGAACATCTGACCTATATTTAGTTAAAAATTTTAATTCAATTATTCAATTATTTACTTTTTCATTAAATTATTTACAATATTAAATATTTACATAATTTAAATGTTTTAATGTTTACTAATTATTTAATTAAAATAGCAAATTAAAGTATTTAAAATGTTTAATTTATTATTTTAATTAAATTAAATTATTAAATTGCAGCTTAAATTATTAAATAAATTAAAATGCCACTTAATAATAATATTTAATAATAAAATAACTGCAATTCAAAAAAGGAAAAAATTGAAGTAACTTTTATCAAACAAGATTATTAAAATATTATAAACTAATGTATAAAGATAATATGCCAAACATATATATAAATACAGTGGGTACGGAAAGTATTCAGACCCCCTTAAATTTTTCACTCTTTGTTATATTGCAGCCATTTGCTAAAATCATTTAAGTTAATTTTTTTTCCTCATTAATGTACACACAGCACCCCATATTGACAGAAAAACACAGAATTGTTGACATTTTTGCAGATTTATTAAAAAAGAAAAACTGAAATATCACATGGTCCTAAGTATTCAGACCCTTTGCTCAGTATTTAGTAGAAGCACCCTTTTGATCTAATACAGCCATGAGTCTTTTTGGGAAAGATGCAACAAGTTTTTCACACCTGGATTTGGGGATCCTCTGCCATTCCTCCTTGCAGATCCTCTCCAGTTCTGTCAGGTTGGATGGTAAACGTTGGTGGACAGCCATTTTTAGGTCTCTCCAGAGATGCTCAATTGGGTTTAAGTCAGGGAACTGGCTGGGCCATTCAAGAACAGTCACAGAGTTGATGTGAAGCCACTCCTTCGTTATTTTAGCGGTGTGCTTAGGGTCATTGTCTTGTTGGAAGATAAACCTTCGGCCCAGTCTGAGGTCCTGAGCACTCTGGAGAAGGTTTTCATCCAGGATATCCCTGTACTTGGCCGCATTCATCTTTCCCTCAATTGCAACCAGTCGTCCTGTCCCTGCAGCTGAAAAACACCCCCACAGCATGATGCTGCCACCACCATGCTTCACTGCTGGGACTGTATTGGACAGGTGATGAGCAATGCCTGGTTTTCTCCACACCTACCGCTTAGAATTAAGGCCAAAAAGTTCCATCTTGGTCTCATCAGACCAGAGAATCTTATTTCTCACCATCCTGCAGGTGTTTTTTTAGCAAACTCCATGCGGGCTTTCATGTGTCTTGCACTGAGGAGAGACTTCCGCCGGGCCACTCTGCCATAAAGCCCCGACTGGTGGAGGGCTGCAGTGATGGTTGACTTTCTACAACTTTCTCCCATCTCCCAACTGCATCTCTGGAGCTCAGCCACAGTGATCTTTGGGTTCTTCTTTACATCTCTCACCAAGGCTCTTCTCCCCCGATAGCTCAGTTTGGCCAGACGGCCAGCTCTAGGAAGGGTTCTGGTCATCCCAAACGTCTTCCATTTAAGGAATGGAGGCCACTGTGCTCTTGGGAACCTTAAGTGCAGCAGAAATTTTTTTGTAACCTTGGCCAGACCTGTGCCTTGCCACAATTCTGTCTCTGAGCTCTTCAGGCAGTTCCTTTGACCTCATGATTCTCATTTGCTCTGACATGCACTGTGAGCTGTAAGGTCTTATATAGACAGGTGTGTGGCTTTCCTAATCAAGTCCAATCAGTATAATCAAACACAGCTTGACTCAAATGAAGGTGTAGAACCATCTCCAGGATGATCAGAAGAAATGGACAGCACCTGCGTTAAATATATGAGTGTCACAGCAAAGGGTCTGAATACTTAGGACCATGTGATATTTCAGTTTTTCTTTTTTAATAAATCTGCAAAAATGTCAACAATTCTGTGTTTTTCTGTCAATATGGGGTGCTGTGTGTACATTAATGAGGAAAAAAATGAACTTAAATGATTTTAGCAAATGGCTGCAATATAACAAAGAGTGAAAAATTTAAGGGGGTCTGAATACTTTCCGTACCCACTGTATATATATATATATATTAGTGCTGTCAAACGATTAATCGCGATTAATCGCATCCAAAATAAAAGTTTTTTTATAAAAATATTTACAGGTCTATATTTATATTCATATAATTTATATTATGAATAAATATATTTAATATATAAAATAACATATTTTTCTGAATATATACATGCATGTGTGTGTATTTATATATACATAATAAATATACACAGTACACATACATATAAACAAAAACTTTAAAATAATGTAACAATTAAATTTAATGATAATATTACAATTTAAATATTTAATGCAAATTATTGTTTTAATTTAATATTTAAATTAAATTATTAAATCATCACATTAAATTAAAATCTCGCATGATTTGAGATGTTCCAAAAAGCATCTTGAGCTTCAGTGAAAGCAAGCACATCTGTACAAAGAGTTACATGATCAATGACACTTATTTATTAAATGTGTACATAAATGCTGCACAAACTCTTAAATGAGAACAGATTTTGATGAGATGTGGTCTCTTCTGTACCCCTGCATGCATCACGTGAATCTCTGTGGTCTCTCAGGTGTGCGGCTCGTTCTCAGCGCGGGCTGGCGTTCAGGCTCACGTGAAGATGCATCACGCACACACTAATGTGATCGGTCTGGGAGACTCCAGCACCTGGAAAATCCCCTTCCTACCTCGATCCGTCTATCTGTTCATCGCGCCGCTGGCCGTCCCCATCATCACGCCCATCGTCGCCGTCGGTGAGGCCTTTCAGCCCTTACACACATAGCTTCTCAGTGCATCCTAACCAGTTAATATGTGATAAAGCAACAAGAGATAAACCATATGTGATCATTTTGTGGTGAACTTTTCATTTAAACATCAGAAATGTTCTGAGTAACAGTGATTTTGTTGTTGAACACACTTTCACTAAGGATATAAATTACTTTTTGCTTAGCACGCCACATCAACCGAGTTCATTTAACTCGGTAAAGTGTCTTTACATTTGACATGACCTCTTCTGTGGGTGAGTGCATGCGCTGATGAGAAACCTCCAGCATATTCTGTCATGTGTTTCAGGTCAGCTGAAGGGTCAGTCTCCGCTCCAGATCCTGCGCACCGTCCCGTGTGTGTGTCTGGGCTTTTTTTCTCAGTATTATCTGCTCAGGAGTGTGTCGGGTCTGTCGTGCAGCTCCGCTCTGCTGGTCATGCTTCTGTGCAGAGCCATGTTCTCCCTGCCGTACATACACGTCAACATATTTCAGGTGAGATCAAATGCAAAAAGACAGCAAGCTGCATTTTGATATATGACTATGATATATATTTTTTGGTGGTGCACCAATATTTTTGATTTGCATGCTTTCTACAGTTGTTTGAGATACAACCAGAGCATCAATTATTTACACCAATTATTTTCAGAAAATATAAAAATTATAGTTTTTTTGCATGCTATAGTTGTTTTGACATGCTCAGTAAATATATCAATTCAGTTATTTATATCACTTCTCTTTAGAAAATATATTGTTGTAAAATATAGCAAATATGAAAATATATTTGTTTTTGCATGCTCAAAAATATAAATTTAATTATTTACACCACTTTTCTTCAGAAAATATAAAATATAGTGTTTTTTGCATGCTATATTTGTTTTACAGTACATGCTCAGAAAATATAAATTTAATTATTTATACTACCTATCTTCAGAAAATATATTTAAAAAAAAAAGTTTTTGCATGTTCAGAAAATATCAATGAAATGATTTATACCACTTATTTGTAGAAAATATAAAAAATATATAGTTATTTTGCATGTTTAGTGACTATGAATTACATCATTTACACTTCTTTTCTTCAGAAAATATAAAATATAGCAGTTTTTGCATGCTCAGAAAAAATATTATATTATATTTATACCATTTATCTTAAAAAAAACAGATGTTTTGTATGCTCTAGTTGTATTTGCATGCTCATGAAATATAAATGCACACTACTTATCTTCAGAAAATATAGAAATAGTTGTTTTTGCATACTAGTGATGTACAGAAATTACACACTTCAGCTATAATCAAAGATACAGTGGTGATAGTTAATGGATCGCTTGCAACTAGTATTATTCTGGTCTTGAGCTTTATCCAGATAGCACACGACGCACTAACAACAAACTGTACAAGCTGTACAGTAACACTTCAGTCAGGACTTCATTATTCTGTCGTCTCTCTCGGGCTCATAAGAGTAATCATTCTGAGTGGGAACTTTCCAAGCTATTCAGCTGAAGTCTGCATCAATCCATCCCTGTCTTTGTGTGTCTCTCCATCCTTTCCCGCGAGACCCACTCAATACGGCTTTGTTCTCCTCTCCTGCTCACAAGGTTCACAGGGTTCAACTGCAGAAAAAAGTCAAATGGCGGAGAACAATTCACGCATGATTTTCCCAGGCAGAGCAAAGGGAGAATAGAATGTACTTTTGTATTGTGCTGATCCTCTGAGGTATTTGTGCTGAGACCCACAGCCATGTGTGAGATCTTTGTTTAGGAGTGAATGCTGTGCGGTGTGTTACAGTATGTGTGTGTGAGATAAATGCATGTGTGTGCATTTGTATGTTTTGTCCAGTTCAGGTCCCCTGTGGCGTCAGTGGCGTCTCTCGGGCCGCTGAACACATTTCATCCCACATAAAGATTAAGCACACACTGAGCTAAAAGTTGAATCGCTTAAAGGCTCCGCGTTCTTCTCTGTTTCAGCATTTTATTCTTATATTTTATTCTTTTTTTGAGTTGGTTTCTGTGTCTCTGCTTTCGCAGCACATCGGCCTGCCAATGTTTTCTGCCACTCACCGGCCCAAACGCATCTACCAGATGACACACGGAGTCCTGAACCTTCCCCGAAACTCGCTGCTGGACTGGACCTTCGGCCATTCCCTCATCAACTGCCACGTGGAGCATCACCTCTTCCCATTCCTGTCTGACAACATGTGCCTGAAGGTGTGCGCTCAAACCATAACTCATGCACATGGAACAAACTGCAGATCCCTCCAAAAATGTCATTATTAAATAATGTAATCATTTAAACTAGCATTTAAATTAAATCATTACATGAAATCATTTTAATTATTCAATTAATTTATAATTTTTATATTTTTCTAAATGTTTATGCTGCATTTTAATGGAATCGTTGAATTTATAATAAATTATAATATATAATTAATTGAATTTATAAGTGTAATTTAATTTAAATAATTGAATTTATAATAGTATATATCATTATCATAATTTGAAATTATTCATGTTTATTCATTATATATGTATTATTTATATTATCATTTATAGCAAATAAACATTACGTTCTTTAAGACAGTAAATTAAATTCACAAATAAAATAACTTTAAAAAAGTAAAAACTGATTAATATGATAAACAGGATATTAAAAATTTACCTTAATATTTAAATAAATTAAAATGCAGCCTTAACAAATAAAGTATTAATAAAATTCACAAAAAGTAATAATTTAATTAACAAGTATCAGTCAAACAAGATTAATTAAATAGAAAATATTCATGGGTAAGGATGATACGCCAACTAAATATATACAAATAAATAATTCAATTCAATATACAAATTTTATTAGATTAAATTGTAACATAAACAAATAAAGTAACAATCTAATTTGCAAAAAGTAATTAATTAAATTAAGTTAAAATTAAATTAATTAAATTAAAGTAATTTATTAAATTAAATTCAATTATTAAATAAATTAACAGTAATTCAAAGTAACAATACAATTCACAAAAAGGAATAAAGTAATGAACTAACATTAGCCAAGATTAATTTTAAAAAGTGATAGTAATAGATAAGGATAATATGGCAAATGTTAATAAAAAAAAGTATTTAAATTAAAATGCAGCATAAACACAGTAACAATACATTCACAAAAATGACTAAACTAATGAAGCAACGTAATTCAAACTAGATTAAAAAGGATAAACTAATCAATAAAGACAAGATGCCAAATAAATATGCATAATAGTGAATGTGCATGTGTTTATTGTGTCAGGTGAAGCCGCTCGTGTCTCAGTATCTGAAGGAGAAGAAGCTGCCGTATCAGGAGGACGCTTACATCTCCCGTCTGAGTCTGTTCTTCCACAAATATCAGGAGCTGATGGTGTTCACGCCGCCCATCACTGAACTGGTGGGAATCCAGTGATGATGGGATGAAGAGCAGAAGACACGGGAAGATGGACACTGACATGACGACCGTCCAAATTCACAACCCATTTTAATTGCAGAACGTGACATATCTATGAAAGAAACAGGGTATTTGACAAGAAAAAGCATGTTAGATGAGACTTGAATGATGGCATCAGCTGGAAAAGAAAGAGCTTTCAGAGATGAATGACAATTTGATAAAGGATTATGGAGCTAAACATTTGTTCGTTTAGAATAATATGCACTGACGATTCGTGAAAAGACCAGGAATGTGCAATAAGAAAGTACACAGGATGGTGCTGACTTTATAACAAGCAAAGCCGTGCAAAGAGAGCCTCTTTTCATTTATGACAGTGCTTCCTATTCGCTTAGCTAAATGACATTATTGAATGTAAGGATCATTGCCTTATGCGCTGTTGTCAGATCAGTGGTAATAAAGCACTGCAGTTTTGACCTCTGACCCCAGATCAGCTCTCAGCTTCAATATGCAGCTTTATGAAGACTAAAAAGATGCATAAAACTTTACCTGATCTGTACAGGACACACTTTAGCTTTGCTCCAAAGTTTAGTGAGCTGCCTTTACTGTCTCTTAAAGGGAAAGTTCACCTAAAAATTACAATTCTGTCATTTGCTCACCCTCAGGTTGATCCAAACCTGTATGAATGTCTTTCAGCTGTTGAACACAAAAGAAGATATTTTGAAGAATGTTGGTAACCAAACAGTTGACGGTAGCCATTGACTTCCATTGTATTTTTTTCCATATTTTGTAAGTCAATGGCTGTTTGGTTACCAACGACATTCTTTAAAATATTTTCTTTTGTGTTCAGCATCAAATGATGACGGAATTTTTGGGTGAACTATCCCTTTAAGAGACTACTTTGATAAACTGCACATCTGTATGTGAAACACAGGAGACTATTGATTCCAATAGAGTTTGCAGTGCATTTTCTCAGCCAAGGTTACGTGTGATGCTGCTTTTAAAATTGTGTCCAAATGAAGGCATCTGGATGGGAGCATAATTATTGTGGTGTCTTCAAATGCTGTCTAGATAGGCTGCTCACTAGGATTTGAAACAGTTTTTGCGTAGATTAAAGGAAATATTATAGGAGACAGAAATGAAAACTTTCTTTTTTTATTACGGTTGTAGGTTGACGTATTTGAATTTGCTAACAACAATGCCATAATCTACGTACAATATTAATACAGCACACAGTAGTAATGATGAATATGTGGGAAATGCATTTTTATGACCTAAACACATAATAATCAAATTCACCGTATTACAGTTGTACTTATGCACTGATAGGTTGGGGATGCGTTTCGTTTATAATTCAGTGATTTTAACCAAAATCATTCACCTTTGACTTGCTTTCGCTGAATGCTCATGAATGTACGTGTGTGATACTGAGATGTGTGTATGAGAGAATGTTGCTCTCCTCTTTCATTTGAAATGAAAATGATACATTGATTTTACTGACCAAATAAAGTTTTGATGTAGCGCTATATTGATTCTGCAAGATTTTCTGACAATACAAGGCTATTTTTATGACTTCAAAAGACTTGGAATGTGACACACAATTCATAGAGACGCCTTTCATGTTGCTTTTATGGTGTTTCCAATCTTATTTGCATTGTATGTAAATGGCAGCATGTTTTCCTGTGCTCCATGGAAGATAGAAAGTCAGACGGGATTGGAACAACATGAGGGTGAGCAAAAATAGTCTTATTATAATCAAATAATATTTCAACTAAATTATAAAATTAAATGTTTTAATTATGTTTACATTCATTATTTCAATATTATATTGTTACTATTTGTTTATGCATTTTTAATAGTTTTATTTAATAATAAAACACATAATATATACTTTTAATAAGACTTGTTATAGCACTTGCATTTTATTGCAATTATTGTTTTGATTGCTTCTATTGTCATCACTTTGGATAAAAGCCTCTGCTTAATGACTAAATGTAAATATAAATAAATGAATATGTATAGAAATGTGAAAAATAATTATTATTTAAAACAATATTTTAATTGTATTAAATTATTACATTAAATTAATACGCAGCATAAACAATATATATATATATATATATACACACACATTCACATTATGTTAACATTTTTATTTATTTGCTTATTTATTTATTTGAGCTTGATAGAAACACGTTAACTTTTTTTATGTCCTTTTTAAGAAAAGAAATCTGGCTTTGGATCATGTTGCAGTTCTCTTTGTCCAGCAGGTGGGAGCACTGACCTTTATCTCAGATAAAAAGCTTATTCTCCTGTTAGACTGAAGAGCCACAACACAAATCTTTTCATGCGACTCATTTGAAGAAACTTACAGTATACTTATTACAGGAACAATCACCAGGGTATTTAATACCGAAATGAACACCTATTTTGAATATAGGCCTATAGAAGCATGAATGAGTTTGAAAGCTATGATATATAGGCCAATTTTCATTGTATACAAATATGAATTGACTAGTTTTAACACAGCTCTTGAACCCTGAAAAAAAAAACAGCAAGAACAGTTCGAAATGTCTAGGTCTGATTCATTTGTACATTGTAAACTGGTTTGGGATGAGTAATGAACTATAACCAGCAAGCCATGCAAAATGATGTCAGTCTGTAACATAAGTAAATCACCAAAACACATCATAATAACAGCAACCGCATGCCTTATTGATCTGCATACGAACTCCGCCCACATTACAGTGTCGCCCCGCCCACCGCCTCTGACTGTATCAGTTTGAGAAGAATATGAGGAAATAGTTGCGTTTCAGGGGGCGTGGCTTAGATCCAACTCACTTCTCATAAGTTTGGGCTTGGCTTCAACTTTAAACTGAAGTCAAAGCTCAAGACAGAAGGAGAGCAATCATGGTCGACGTGGTGCTGACAGCAGATCTGCCAGCAAGCAGCTCGAGTTCAGAAAAACTCCAGAAGAACCCAGAGGAGAGCAGTCTGAAGTCCACAGAGGAGAAGACCAATGGATCTCCAGAGACTGAAAACCAGACCGCAGGAGAGAAAGACAGCACGACCATTGAGGAAAGCAAGATTCAGGAGGACCTCAAGGAACCAGAGGACCCTCAGAAGCCTCAGGATGAAGAGGAGGCGCTGGGGCCAAACGGTGTCACCTGCGACTCCTGCATCGACCGGCCGTGCCGCGCCAAGAAGTCGTGCTTGACCTGCCTGGTGTCGTACTGCGAGGCTCACCTGAGGCCGCACCTGGAGAACGTCAAGTTCCAGAGCCACAGGCTGGTGGAGCCGCTGCGGGACATCGAGAGACGCACCTGTGAGACGCACCGCTGCGCGCTGGAGCTCTTCTGCTGCGCCGACGCGTGCTGCGTCTGTGTGGAGTGCGTGGCGGAGGAGCACCGCGGACACAACACCGTGCCCATCCCTGAGGCGCGCAGGAAGATTGAGGTACGCCTGTTTACTTCTTAACTTAATAACTTGAAATGGTGCAAAATATTTAGGTAATGAGAATCTACGTTCAAAAGTTTGGGGTTTTTGTTTCTTATGCTCACCAAAGCTGCATTTAATTAATCAAAAATACAGTAAAATTGTGAAATATTATTATAATTTATAATATCTGTTTTCTATTGTAATATATTTTAGAATGTAATTTATTTCTGTGATTCAAAGCTGAATTTTCAGCATCATTGCACTCTTAAAAATAAAGGTGCTTCACGATGCAAAAAATGTCTTAGAAAATGTCTAAATGGTTCCATAGAGAACCTTTAAGATGTAAAGAACCTTTCTGTTCTTGGTGGCGAAAGAAGGTTCTTCAGATTATAAAAGAGATGGTTCTTTAAAGAACTTTTGACTGAATGGTTCTTCTATGGCATGGCTGTGAAGAACCTTTTAAGCACCTTTATTTTTAAGAGTGTACTCCTGTCTTCAGTGTCACATGATCCTTCAGAAATCATTCTAAGATGCTGATTTGCTGAAAACATTGCTTCGTATTGATATATTTATTTTCAGGATTCTTTGATGAATAGAAGTTCGAAAGAACAGCGTTTAGTTGAAATTAGAAATCTTTTGTAATATATGTCTTTACTGTCACTTTTGATCAATTTAATGCATCCTTGCTAATGAAAGTATTATTAAAATGTTATTGACCCCAAACTTTTGAACAGTAGTGTATGACAAAAAAAATTCAACAGTTTCTGTGAAATGATCGCGACAATGATCTGTTAGTGTAAAATTAGAGAGTGAAAATAGTATTTGGGTTAAAAAGGCTCCATTGTACAACCATTTTGATCATCATATACAGTATTTTTGGACCAGAAAAAAAGGTGAAATATGCCACTCTTGAGCCACTAGAACAAAAATATTCCCAGACACTTCTCCGTCTGCCACTGGTCAGTCAAACAGATTGCCAAAATCATGCCACTGGGACAGTGTTGCTATTTCAAGATGCTCAAGCTAACATAAGATTGTTATGATAGCATTCTGAATCACATACTAGCATGCATAAGATACTGTATGTAAATATATGGCAGAAATAGCAAGAGTAGGATGCTGCTCCGAGTTCAGCCACAGGATTTGCACTCAACTTACTTATTAGACTTTAACAACTGACACTTTACTTTTAAGGGTGATATTAGCCTCAAGCATACAGACTGTTCCTTATATCTAATGAATCTTTTCAGTGAAATAAGGAACAGAATGTTTCCTCTATTGTTATAGTTCAAAACCATATCAGGATGCATCTCTCCGTGTTTGATGCAGATCAGATCATGTCATGCATCATGCTATTTCTCTCTCTGACCTAAAAGAACAGGTCACACATACTGTAACAAAGGCCTGATAACGGGACAATGTGGTCATGATTAATGACTATAAGTGATCATCAAGGCTGTTACTGTTGCTCATACTGAGAGTTCGGGATGTAATCAACCTCACACAATGAACTTCAATACTTTGTGTTCCAGACATAACTGTTGAGGAGAGTTATAATGTGGTGGTGGTGAGTTTTTTAAAGGCAACAGTGCAACAAAAATGTAACAAAACAGTTTAAATTTGACAGAGACATTATTGATTATTCAGGATTCGCTATCCATCTTCATTTAGGTTATTCTTTGGTTAAGCTTGGTTAGTTATGTATTTAGGGTGTACAGTAGTTTAGTGTGAGTTTGACACAATCGCATTGCATCGCATTTTCAGAGATCTCTTAAAGTTTCTCCTTTCCTGATAGAAACCTCATTGGCGTAGGTATAATCGTTTAATGAATTTCTAATGAAAATACACTGCTCGCTAATCTGAAACTTGTTCTACATCCAATTGTGAACATCAGTTCATGACGTCTGGCTGAAATCATCTCTTCGAGAATGAAAAACATCTATGAAGCATGTAGTGAAGACTGACATGACCACACTTATCAATAAATCAACTAGCAAACACAAAGCATTAGTAAGCAGAAAAACTTGTATGGTATTTTCTAAAGAGAGGTTTCTCAATGTGACCGGACGCAGAATGTAACACTTTTCGTGACATGTGACATGTTTTCAGGATGATGCAACACTTGAACAGGTATTTGCGTGTCTTTAACATGCTTGAAACGTTACTTTATGTCATTTCTTGATGGTTTTTGCTGTGGCCGTGTATATGAATGCTGCT